AAAAAAAAACAAGAATCAAAAGGACAAAGAAGAAAAGAAGGAAAGGGAAAACACCTACCCGGCCAAAATCCGATTATCAGCATAGGCAAACAAATCCTCGCCCTGATTAAACGCCGCTTGAGCAATAGCCCCCAACAGCCCAAAGTCAAGCATAGCATGACCTTGATCCCTCCCAGCCTCCTGGCCTTGACCCAGAACCTGACCCTCAACATCATACAACTTCCAGACCATCTTCTCAATAGCACCATTACCAGTCCCATTCTTAAAATATTCCACCGCCTCCTGATACATGGTCTCATTATCGGCGAGAACACCAATAGAGAGCATGGAAGCCAGGTTACACAGATCCCAATTAGCCCAGTAATGGTCGATCTTGGCATCATTATGCCGGACAAAGAAATCATGATTCATGGGGTAGAACACGGAGACCATCATATCCTGGAAGGCGGCGAACTTCGCCTTATCCCAGCCGTCATAGTCGCGCATGAGCTCAGCGGCGTTGGCGAACTCATAGCCGTAGATGCCCGAGGCGAGAAACTTGTCTGAGTTTCCCGAGATGCCTTTTAGGGTTGTGGCCCAGGCGTCGAGGATGGAGACGGCTGCGTCGGCGTAGGTTTTGTCGTCGGTGACTTTCCATTGGATGGCTAGCGCATAGGCCGCCGCGATGTCTTTGTACAGATTTGGATAGTTTTCTGCGTGTGTGCCGTCTTTGCCCCTGTAGATGGTTTCTTGGGGACGTGGGGTGTAGGAGGGGTTCGCGAAGGAGCTGTTGGTTAGTTTGTACCAGCCTGTGAGCCAGGGTTCGGTGTTGGAGTGGACTTTGGTTTTGATGCGTTCGAAGTCTGTGTTTGTGTGCAGGAGGCCTGGGTGCGTGAAGGCTTGGATGAGAGTCGCTAGGGATGCGATTGTCCCTGCTGCCAGGGTTGAGGGACGCATATTTTGGTTTTTGGCGGGGATGGTAGGTATATGCGTTTGGTGACAATGAGGTTCAATTGACAAATAGATAATCAGATGAAGACAGAACCACCAGAACAGCCCGGCACTGTTATACGAGATATTTAAAGTCTTCAACGGAGCCAGTCCGGAAGATCAACCGGTGCGCATGCGCGTCTCTGTTCGAACGACTGCGTGAACAGGGAACAGTATCCTTGTCCTGGAGGATTGACCGGACATCCTCCTGGTGAAGATCATCGGCTTATATGGAAGAGAGATTGTACGATTGAGGATCTGGTTGACGTACGCGATGAGATCTAATGCGGGAAATTTCCCGATTAAGGAGCGAGAGTGATGGCTATCATGACCCAATCGGGAAGCGTTAGGGTTGAGCCGTTTCAACATAAAACATCGACTCCACTTAGGAAGCGAAGAGATTGATAAACTAACATCAGAAACCAGGGCCCCCTCCATATTCGGCGTATTCAGCACGATATCCACCGTTTAAGGGGTTCTACATCTTCGTGAGTCGGGTGTTGTAGCGGGGCTACATCCCGAAACCCGAGGGGATGTATGGGTCCCTAATATAGATTAATCTATATTGCCTCACTGACTCCTGCCTCACATTCAATCCCTATCCCGCACGGTATTTGTTTGACTATGGCTCTTGAGTAGTTCGTGAGTTTCCCCGCTAGTTATGAGTTCCAGTGGCCTAGAAAATACCGCATAATTTACGTACCTGACTGTGGCTTTTGGTTTCATCATGACATCATGTGTAGTGATAGCTGTTGAGATATAAAAATCCTACGCTACTGCAATCCTGGCACATTCAGCGTGCTGATCACTCACTAAATTCTGCTGATGTTGAGTTATAGCTGTCAGTCTGTGCGGTGATCATTCCGTAGCCGTTTGGGAGTAGTACTCCTCAGTATCTTAAGAAAGGATCGATATAGCCATGGTCGGTCTACCTACCTTTATGACTAAAGCAGCTTCTAAGAAGCTAAAACATTTCGTAAGGTCTCGTGAGTTATAGTCAAAATGATTAGACAAACGCTCCAATTAACCAGTATCCCACACGTGAGGAGACATTTTCCCTAGTCTTGATTGAACTATCGCCATCATGTAAAAGCACGAGCACATTCAGGGAGGCCACAAGGCGCAAACAATGTCGGTCACTTTGATCCAAGAATAAGCCAGCAGGACAAGAACTGAATGCCTAAAGTCCCAATTTCGCATTGGAAACATAATGAGAACCTCCAGCACGTTCATAACCCCTGAGCCTGTTTGATCCACCGGTAGGTACCCCATGCAGCAAACTCCCATCGTTCTCAGTTTCTCCTGGGCCTCCTGTTTTTTGCGCCGTTGCTTCTCGGCATCTTCTCGGAGCTTTTGGAGCCGCTCCAGTTCTTCCTTTACAGTAATCTTATCGCGCTGCAGCTGGTTCTATATCGCATCCAAAACCCCTGAGTCTCGAACTTCGGCGGTTGCAGTAGGAGGGGCTTCTTGTCCTGTCGAAGCCTCATCGTCTTGGGGTTTATCTTGTCTGTGTTGCAGATTGTGTTTAGCGATAAATTAAGGAGGACTAGCTGGCTGATCATCGAAGGCAAACCCTGGTTGGAGGTAACAGACTGTTCAAATTTCGCGCGAGCGCTCTGGCGATTGGTGCGCTCAGCTTGCATGCGATCTAGTCCTGCAAGGACCATGTCTTCGGATATGACCAGCCTTCCACTGCTAACCCCCCTGCACTGCTTTGCAAAAAATTAACTTAGCCAATGTTTGAACATCGTGTGCATTGATCCAACCTAAGGTTTGGGCCAGGGTAAAGATAACCGCTAGGGAGCTCTAGCACTCTGGAGCCACGGGGAACGAACTTGGGTATTTATGTCCCTTAACATGTTGGTTGATAGTTGAATGCAGTCACCAGTACTTAGCCCATCGGACTCAAGTGATTCTGGGAATGGACTGGTCAGTCCCTGGATTGATTGCCATGAGAGGGTTAATATCCGTTTCATAGCCCGCTAGAATAATGATAAGCTTATGAAAGAATTTGAGCTTTGTGATGGCAATCAACAATTTCATCCATAGCCTCCTTTGCAAATGGACATTCTGCCAGCCTGTACGCTTCATCGACCAATAGAATCTTTCCAGGTGCTGTGACATCCCATACGCTAAATGAACATCTTGATATCCAGACTGGTAGGCAATATGTGTCGCAGTCGTCTAATTTTCAATCTAAAACACGTTCTTTCTGATGCAAGGACCATGACAACCTGGATGAGGAGTTGCCCCGGATGTGGGTGTCAAAGATCTCCAACTTTTTTCTTGCCTTCCATGAGTACCGGCTCTTCAATAACGTCAGAGTTCATGACATCCGCAAAGAAGTCAAAAAACGGGAAAAGGAACAAGAGAACAGTCTGCGTCAATTTTCAACTTTACTCGAAATCCTCACTGCATTATGACCGAGCGGACGGGTGGTTTGAGGTAGTTCATGATGAAGGGAGCAACGTACTAGAGCTGCGAGAGCTTGATAAGAATGTGAATAGCGCACTTTCCAAATGCTGAAAGAGCGTTTGCCCTCAGGAAGCACGTTGCCATCGTACTCGGGGGCGTATCAAGCGATGGTTGGGTTGAGCTTTCAAATCTGGAGGTACTGGATCTGGACTGGAAAAACGAGTCCGAGAAGGATTTTACAGCTTGTTCGGCATCGACATTTGGGTACTGCGGACATTGCACATACTGAGTTGAGGTGTTGGCATGGTGATGGTTATAAATTCAATACGCGTTTGTTGCCATTGCCTGAGCATCTTTGCCCGTATGTCCTGCCCAGGTTGACACGCAGATGCAAATTTTTTTTTTTTTTTTTTATTTCCTCTCTCTTTCTCCTCGGTTTTAGTATATCTTATATTCCTCGGACTGTATTGGATATGGGTAGTTTACTACTAATCTCACCATTTGTCTAAATGAAGATATTGGATTTCTCGATATATATTTGTGTAATATCCACCACCGTATGAAGATGGTCGAATGTATGTCCTTCTAGTTCGTATTTACGGCGGATCATATGTTACCTTCATTCCACGCCCAAGTGGAAGGATATTTAAAGCTACGAATAATCCTCAGAAGTGACTATCAAAACAATTTCCTGTCGTCCTCCATAGACAGTGTCAGTGCAATTAGACTAATCAGGAAAAAGTGGACCAGAGAAGGGAAGCGGGTCTACCAGTAAGCCCTAAGCGGGCGGCACTATTGGGAAGACGGTCAACAACAATCGGCAAAATAGCAATGAAAGGGTATCCCACTTTCAAATCCACCTCATATCCACTCTAAACCCACCACCAGATAACCAAAAAAATTTCAAAAGATAATACTAGCATGTGCTGGTTTATCCAGCGGCTTCCGGGTTATGAGGCCCGGCACTCTTCCCCTGAGTTAACATGCTGTGATTGGATGGAAGTTGTTGTTTTAAATTGGTATATAAGTCAGAGAAAAGTCCCGGAAGTCAGTAGGGTAGAAGCCCTAGTCTTGTTTTCCGGGGATGGGAATGGTGGAAGGGCATGCCTTGAACACAGAGAGGGTCTTTGGCATAGGTGAGTGATTTGTGGCTAGAGGGGATTCGTGGAAGAAAGGTTTTGCAGTAGAGGAAGAGATAGGCTGTGATCTTGCTACATAGCGTAGGTGATTAGAAAGATAGAGAAGTGCTAGAATATCTATCTGCACGGTGAAGGACTCTTGTGTACTATGTATGCAGGTATTAATCTCACAGTGACGCTAACCTTCAACAATTACATTTGCTACAATATATTGTGCGATAACTAACCGACATTTGGATATGCTGCAATTGAAATGTGATGACTAGACATATCTGCATGGAGACATGCCCCTTCTACTGGCTCCTGGCATTGACCCGGGGGGTGATTGAGACGCTGACTAGCAATACAACTTACAAGCTCGAATGCTAGGTACTTGCGTTTGTCATGGTTCGCGGGGG